AAAAGCTAGTAATGGTCATCAATTCATCCTGGTAGCAATTGATTGCTTCACCAAATAGGTGGAAGCGAGCATCCTTCGCATATGTTACCCGGAGAGTTGTCCATCGGTTCGTGCGAAGGAGATCATTTATCGATATAGGCCTCCAAAGACCTTGATCATAGATAATATATAGAATTTTAATGGCAAGATGATTACGGAATTATGCGAATAGTAGAAGATCAAACATTGCAATTCTTTTCCATATAGACCCAAGATGAATGGGGTCGTAGAAACTGCAAATAAGAACATAAAAAAGATCATATAGAAAATGGTAGTCACATATAGAGACTAGCATGAAGTATTACCGTTTGCATTACATGCTTATAGGATGGCGAGTGAGGACATCAATTAGGGAAACTCCTTACTCGTTGGTATATGGGATGGAGACGAGTAATGCCCATGAAAGTAAAGATACCATCTTTGAGCGTGTTAAAAGAAGCCGAGCTAGATGAGTTAAAATGGGCCCAAATCAAATATGAATAGCGAAATTTGATCGATGAGAAAAGGCTAACAACTATTTTTCATGCGCAGTTGTATCGAAAAGAATGGCTCGGGCATATGATAAAAAAGTCCGCACAAGAGCTTTTTATGAAGGGGACTTAGTTTTGAAAAGAGTACTTCGATCCCGAGGGTAGAAAGAAGTAAGTGGGCACCCAATTATGAGGGTTCGTATGTAGTGAAAAAGAGCATTTTTCGAGGAGCCCTCCTCTTGATGAAGATGGATGGTGAGATCTCGTCGAAGCTAGTGAATTCGACATTGTAAAGAAATATCATACTTGAGCATACGAAATTCTTCTTTGTTCCGTTGTAAAAAGAAAATAATCGAAATTATGTTGAATATTTACTATTTTAATCATTTTATTTTTGCTTCTCATTTCTTTTTTCCCATCCCATATAAACCATTCCCGACTTTTTCTTTATCTATCAAAATAACTCGCTCTCTCACAAAAGTGATCGGTCCACGAAAGGCGAACAAAAATCTTTTATTAGTCTCATGTGTAATCTCATGTTTAATGTTATTTATGAAAAATGATAACATAAAAGAAGACAAATGATAGGAAAGATAGGAACTTTATTCGCCCTTGATAGATGAAAAGGCTTTCTCATTAACTCTTTGCGCAAGAAAAAAAAAAGATGAAATAGCAAATAATGATGATCATAGGTTGTTTCGACAGTTTCGAGTCCCCCATTAATATGCAATGGCAAGAATAAGGAATTTGGTAATGACGATCCGATTATGTTCATAAAAAAGCTCGGTCAATAAAAAAAAGTGATTCGGGAGACATGCGATTAAGTAGACAAAAATCTACAAGAGTAGCCAGACCTAGAAATCATGAACCTAACCCAATGAAGATGAATCATAGCCGGAGGGAAGTGTATGTTTTGGCGAGTAACAACTTTTGTGTTTCGGGTACATCGTTCATACTCTAGTGCATTGCTAAGGAAAAGTCACTTGCTTGACCACGAGGACGATCACCTACGTCAATCCGTAGCTTCGAGATGACATTTAAATGGACTTTGCCAATTGATCATAGCCCTTCTATGATTTTCTTTACATGCTCACTTTGCAAAGTTAAAGAAAAGTCAAATTTTCAATGACTCGCGTGTCGTAAGCTTTGTAAAAAGAGGGCAACTATTAGCACCCGATTTTGAGTCCCAAAAAAAAGGAAAAAATAAAAAATAATGCAATTGGGATGCAATTAAAGAAGAAAAGAGAAATGAAGCAAAATAAAGTTGCTTTTTAAAATGAGGGACCAAAACAGATTTTTGCCCAAATAAACCCTAAAAAGCTAGTATAAAGACACCCTTTACTCCTAAAAAACCCCAACTACTCGTTCACCCACCAAAAGTAACCCTAGCCGCCAACCATCTCTTCCCCTCTCGCCACTACGCCGGGAGCCAACACAACCTCCCTCTCCACGCCACCGGTCTCCCTATGCCCACGAGCCCGCCGCCTACGCCCCAGCACTTGCCTTCCTCGCACGCAACGGAGCCAACTACGGCACTGCGGGTGCCATAATAGCCGGTCGCAACCCCGGTCTTGCCCAAGCACCTCTACTATAGAATTCACGTGCCCAAGCCCCCAATAGCGTCCGTCTTACCGGCGTGCAAACATGCCCCTCACCAACGCTCGCATGCACCTCGGCGAGCCGCCCCAACGCCCGCACGCGCCTCAACGGCCGACCACGGACCCTCGCGTGGACGCTCTAGCAAGCCTCCTTGCACGCCTCACTCGCGGCTATGTGCCAACGCACACTCGCCTACCCGGCCGCACGCTTGCCCCTACCGGCATTCACCACCTATAATAGGACTTCCCACGCTCCATCAACGATCGACTTTCCTCTCCGATTGACTAAGTATTAGTCTCCATCGGGGTCGAAAGGGTCGAGTCCGACTTCGAGATCATCAAGCAAATCGACTCGCCTCTTTTTTTCTTTACAATAATCTTTTTTACTTTTTTTTTGCTTTATTTTATTTTATTTTATTCTTATTTTTTTAACATATATTAAATTTGGTTCATGTTGATATGTGTTATGTAATTAATTGAATGAATGTGATGTAATTATTTTGATCTGTTTATTCATGTGTAACTTGGTTGAATTATAATGATGTGCATTTTTTTATTTTGACAAGCATAATGATAAATGATGTGTCGGTTTGAACATGTGGATATTTGTTATTCGAATACATATTTTAAAAGCGCTTCTTGTATGGTAATTTTTTTTTATAAAAAACACATGTCGAACCAAGTAAGTTTGAAATGTTGTCTTGTAATTTCGTTTTCGTCAAAAATGATTGGTTATGTATGCCAAAGCGATTAATTTCGTCGATTTTTACATTTTCTTCGATTTTGGTCCTATTGTCAGTTCTTGTCCATTTTTGCCTATGTGTGCTTGTTTTTTGTCGATTTTAGCCTATTTTAGCCAAAGCCATCGATCTTTTGATGTCGTTGTCGATTTTAGCCTATTTTAGCCAAAGTCTGTCGATTTTTATTTTTTCGTTGCCGATTTTAGCCTATTTTAACTAAAGCTACCGATTTTTTATTTTGTTGTCGATTTTAGCCTATTTTAGCCAAAGTCGTCGATTTTTGTCTTTCATTGCCGATTTTAGCCTATTTTAGCCAAAGCTATCGATTTTTGATTTCGTTGTCAATTTTAGCCTATTTTAGCCAAAGTTACCGCTTTCATTTTTCATTGTCGATTTTAGCCTATTTTAGCCAAAGTTATCACTTTCTTTTTTTCGTTATCAATTTTAGCCTACTTTAGCCAAAGTCGTCGCTTTTGTTTTTCGTTGTCGATTTAGCCTATTTTTGTCAAGTTATCAATTTTTGGCTTAAATTGTCGATTTTTTCTCATATTTGCCTATTTTTGCCTAAATTGTTTATCCTTGCCTATTTTTGTTTATTTTTTCTTGGCATTCATTTTTTTTAACTATCCATTAAAGAGTGAGGACAAGGTCTCTAGCCGACCAAATCTCGAATCACTCGACTAGGGGGCATTTTCATGAAAAATCAAAAATCGAACCAATGTTACATGCGATGCGGCTTGCCTTAGGCAAGACGAGGTAGGGTGAATTTTGATTTCTCTACACGTAATAAACCCCTTGCCCGAAACTCCAAACGGACCAGTCACGAGGTTTCCTAATAACCATAATACTAGGTGGCAACTCCAATCATCCGCCCTACATTTCACCTCACCGCCCAACGTCGCCCTATGACATCTACCATTTATTTTGAGCAATTGCAATATTTTCGGTTATACTCCTACCTTTAACAAAGCCTCGCTTGCTCTAAAAAGATGATATGAGGTAGAACCTTACCTAATCTATTAGCCATGATTTTTTTAGATAATTTTGCATCCAAATGATGAGAGACTAATAGGCTTTAAATCACTCATAGCAATTGCATTTGGGACCTTAGGAATCAAGATTAAAACGATTGTTGTCATACCTTTAGGAATATGCCCACCCCTAAAAAAAATCTTGGATTGCCAAAATGACCTCCTGCTTAATCAAATCCCAATTCCCTTTGAGAAATGGCTAGTAAAACCATCTAAGCTTGGGGCACTTGGAGAATTAAGATCATTAATTGCCTCCCAAATTTCAGCTTCGGATGGAATATTTGTTAGCATATTGTTTTACTTTAATGAAACTTGTTTGAAATTCCCCGCAAATAGGTTCGTGACTAATAGGTCTACAAGTAGAAAAAATATCTTTGAAAAACTCAATAGATGTAGGTCCTAAATACGGGTATGAAAAAGGGAGGTATTCCAATCACCATTATGTACCCAATTTGCATTTGATTTTTGTTGCAATAGATCTACCTCCCACCTATTCAATCAATATAGGTCCTCCCTTATAGATTGCAAATCCTTATTAATATTCTCATTCCATCCATGTAATAACTAATTTTCAAGATGAATAACCTTGTTCGAAGGTTCTCCATTTGATGATGAATATTGCAAAAAAATTCCTAATTCCATTGTTTTAACCTACGATCGAGATTTTTCAACTTAGAGTGAAGGATATCCATAGAAGCACTCGAGCAAGTGTATTTCGAAACACCTCTAACAAAGATGTTGTACTCCTTATGTTCCATCCACATACGGTGGAACTTCGATAAAGAATGGGACCGCCTTGGAGGACTAGAGCGGATCAACAAAGAGGAGTGATCCGATTGAATCCTTGTAAGATGTTGGACCGATATAGCGAGGAAGAGAGGATAAAAATGGTCATTAATTAGAACTCTATCAAGTCCGTCCTAGATTTTAGCTAAGCCGGATTGATTATTGCACCAAGTATACTAGCTACCAATATAACCAAAATCATCTACCCCAATATTATTACAACGAATCCACAAAGTCTCTCATTGCTTGAAGGTTATAACTCATTCCACCAATCTTTTATGAGACATCCGCTATGACATTAAAATCTCCCCCACTAGCCAAGGAAGATGATACGGACTAGACAATTGACTTAAGTCCGCCCACAACCTCAACCATTCTACCCTAGAACATTTAGCATAGACAAAAGAGCATAATACCGGACTCCAACCATGCATTTGAATTTGTACGGTGATTAATTATTCGAGTAATATCCATGCTAGTAACAAAAAAGTCGAATTTCAAAAAAAGCCGGATATGCACATTAACAGGATTATAATGCATGTCATGCATGAAATATATATATATATATATATATTTTTTTTTTTTTTTTTTTTTTTTTTTTTGCAATCTCGTATATTTTATCCCCACTCAATTTAGGTTCTAAAATAACTAAAAGAATAGGACGATATTTTTTTAATAATTTTAAATAATTAATGGTATTCCTATTTTCTTATCCCCTAGCACTCCATAATATGACAAACATAATTTAAAAATCAGGGATAGAGGTACCTTGTGCTCGTAGAGCTGATCGTGTCTTTCTTTTAAAATCTGGGTTGTGATGTTTTCCTTTCCGAACAAGATTTTTAATAGCTTCGTGAATTTTGTTTACCTGAACCCTGTCTTCCTGCTCAACATCTATCTGGTCAGACGATTGGGATCATGGAAGCAACGAACTATTATGATTTATGTCGAGAGAATCATTATACGTTAAGGATCCTTGCCAGCCAACCCGTTGAATATCCCTGTCTAAGATCTCATCCTCTAAACCATCAAGAATGAAACAATAGCTAGCCTCTTTCCCTGTATTAATTTCAGAGATATGACTACCCTCATTCTCATGGTTTCCCACTACAGAGCTTGTAGGCAAAGTATAAACCTCAACCTGGTTGTTAATTAATATCTGTCCCTCTTACTGCTGCCATAGTTATTGTCTACTTGGATCATTCTTTCCACCCCCACTTGTCTCCCCTTGAAAGTAGCTGAACTGACAAGGTCTCCTACAGCCCTTGTGCCATTAATCAATGTTGGAGTATCAACCACTCCATAAAGAATTGTAACAGAGTGCAAGTGACTGTCACCGCAATCTTTCGTACGTTGTGATATGTTGGCTACAGTGTCATGCACTCCATGTGGCCGGGTTATCTCCTTTTTGTCCAGCAATATGCGAATCTTTGGGTAAGATATCTGTAGTACCATGCATAGAACTTGCATGATTAAATATCGTGATATGTCTATTGCCCTCTATTACCATATCATGCATAACATTAGACCACTCTACTGCCTCCTTCAAAGTCTCTCCAATTTGTCCACCCAAAGATATTGGTTGGTCCCTATTCCTGAACTCTAAATGAGAAGCTTCTACAGTATCAGTATCCTTCAACTTTGTGAGCCGAATGGTAGGAGGTTGTAATCTTTCTGGTGGACTAATGTCACTGGCTTGTAAGGCTCGTGCATAACCTGCTGCTTCCACATGATTTACACCACTTTGCTCTTTCAAATTCACTGTCCGAGAGCCATGTCCAGTGCCAGTTTTGGACACTCTAGCTACTGATACTTATGGTGTCTGATCTAAAGAGGCTTTGTGAGACACATCTTCTTTGCTGTTGTTTTTCCTAGATACTGGAATCCATATTCCTTTGCCTTTGTCATTCCCTTTGTCTGTAAACATAGGTTTTTGATGCACAACATATTCTGGACAAACAGCAGCAGTAGCTGTAACCTGGACTGGACTAACTTGTCTCTTCTGACATTTTGCTTAGATGTGGCTATCAACCCACCGTCTCAGCAGAAAGAAAGATTGCCTTCGTATTCCACTTTTTGCCAAAACCCATTCTCCTTGGAGCAGCCGATCCAAAATCTTGATGGTAGACATTTTGAAACATCTACCTGCACACATATGCGTGCAAACATAGGGTGGGTGAGGGCGCTTGTTCTCTCATTTGCTCTAAGGAAGACACCTAAACACTCACCTATCCTTTTCAAATATGAGGGAGTGAAAAACGTGAGAGGAAGATAGGGCAATCGAATCCAAGCTGCAGCCTTAGAGCTGTCTTTTCGAAAACCAAAATCAGGGCTCCATCGAAAACATCTATACATTGAGTTCTGTATTTTGTGATCCTTCGTTGCTAAGGCTTTAATTGTGTCCGCTTCTGAGTATAGAAACACCATCACATGTCTCGAATCTAATAACCTATAACTAGATCCATTTGCAACTATCAATGATTCGTGATATGCTGCCTTATCTCTGTCAAGTTTAGGCGTCCTCCCGAGAACTTAAGAACCAGCGTATTTGTGAATTGTGATGTTGCCTTGTCTATCTCTACTGCTGAAAATAAACAAGCCAGTTCCTCATTGATGAAAGAAGGTTGCCTTATTGTAAGAGGGAGATCCTTAATAGGAGGCTGGCTTACCATGTCTGTTTGTGTCTTACCTTGTGGTTTGAACAAAGAGGCGTAGCTTCTAGGAGGGTGCTGAGCATCCAAAGGATTCTGCCCAAAGGCCATTGAGGGGACGGAGTAGAGCGAAGATCCGAGATACTAGGATTTCTAGCAGCAAAATCAGTATTACTTCTTTGCTGTTCAAACTTACCAGTATTGGTTATCGACACAGGGAGGTCAGCCTGAAGCCTTGGAGGGAGTAACTCTCGTACCCGTGGTGGAGGAGTTGCTGCCAACACTGATACCATGTTATTGTGTTAAGCTAAAAACTTAACAAAGCTTGAAATGTGAAGAAGATAGCTAGGGAGAAAGAAGAAGGATGAAAGGAGGGAGAAGGAGAGAGATTCTGAAGAATCAGTTCTGTGATTTTTCAATTCATACCCTTATAGCTAGCCGTTACAGCCTTTATATGGTTGCTAATGTTTAGCTGGCGTAACTAACTATTGCCGGGTCATACATGCTGTTATAACTACTGGCCACATCATTTATTAGTTACGACTGAATCTACATCGGCAACTAGCCGTTATTACTAACTACAACGTCTACCTCATCGCTTGCCCCGTGTTTATGACCCCGTATCTCCGCCTTGCCGGTAGCTCTTAAGTCGTAACAATACCCTCCCTTCCAACGGATCTTTGTCCTCAAGGATCAAAGCAAAAGTCGAAGCCGAAGTTCCAAATCCTCCGGAATTTCCCAAGTAGCATAATCAACGATCATACCAACCTATTGGATTAAACCCATGACTACCGCCCGATTATCCTTCTTCATAATCCTCCTATCTAACACTCGTCGTGGGGTAAAGGGCAATGCGACCTTCACCGGTCATAAGTGGGAGGTCAATGGCAATTATCGCATCGTCACCCAACTTCTTCTTCAAAAGTGAGACACGAAAAGCTCGGATGCACTAAAGAATGGGGTGGCAAATCCAGCTTGTAAGCTACCCGGCTCACTTTCCGCAACACCGTATAGGGACCAAAATACCTAGGGTTCGGTTTGAAGTTCTTCCTCAAGGCCACACTGGTCCGTCGATATGGTTGAAGTTTGAGGTAAACCCGGTCCCCTACTTCAAACACCCATTCGGTCCTCCTCCCGTCCGCCAATTGCTTCATTCAATGTCGAGCTCGCCTAACCGAACACCTAAGAAGAGATCCATAGCTCGCCTTTCCCCCACAACTTCCTTAACGTACTGTAGCAGTCGATGTGCCTTGCAAAATGAGCTTCCGATGAGGTGGGGGTACCCATTCAAAGCTTGGAAAGGGGACATTTGAATTGTCGAATGGTAGCTGGAGTTATACCACCATTGAGCTAAATGTAACCACTCGTACCATTTTCTTGGGCAGTCCATACACATACACCGTAGGTAGGTTTCGAGGCATCGATTAAGCCACTCCGTTTGGCCATCGGACCGAGGATGATATGCGGAACTCATACAAAGCTTGACCCCTAAGGATTTGAACAACTCCTTCCAGAACACACTTGGTGAAAACCTTATCCCGATCTATAACAATAGATGCTCGGTAAGCCATGCAATTTGTATATCTCGCTCTAGAAAAATATTAGCTACATCCTTAGCCGAAAATGGATGACGAGAGGGTAATAAAGTGACCATACTTCATGAATCCGTCCACCACCACCAAAATGGTATCCTTGCCTTTCGATTTGGGCGGGCCCTCTATGAAATCCATAAAAATGTCCCTTCATACTCCGAGTTGGAATCGACAGAGGCCGTAGTAGGCCCAGGTAGGCAACTCGTTCGATTTAGCTCGCATGCATGTGTCACACCTAACTATCAATTCTTTGATCGGCAATTTCATAGCCGGCCAATAGAAAGCCCTCTTAAGCCTTCGAGAAGTATTTTGAACACTCGCATGACCCCTATTGCGGATTGATGTGCAACTTTTATCAATAATGTTCGCGGCTCCGGATCCGCCCCAATGTAGACTCTTTGTTTGTACCTCGGTATACCCCGATAGTAAGAAAATTAAGGAAAAGAACTTTCTTAAAGCTCCTTAGCTTCGAATAACCTCCCGAGCCTTAGCATCATGTACATAAGACCCTTGGATATCCCGATACCAAGTAGGGATCGAGTAGTGATGGCATAAAGGTGGGTCTCCGGAAGACTCGTCGTCCGTATTGTGATGATGGATCCTGCGAGATAAGGCATCGCCTACTACGTTTTCCTTTCCTTTTCGATACCGAATTTCAAACCTCAATCCCAACGACTTAGTCAAACCTTTCCTTTGAATCGGGGTGTGAATCTGCTGTTCCAATAGGTATTTAAGGCTTTCATGGTCGGTCTTGATGATGAATTTGTTTGCCTCCAAATAATGCCTCCATTTATCTACTCGCCATAAGAATAGCCATATATTCTTGCTCATAGATAGACATCCCTTGATGTTTTGGACACAAAGCCTTGCTAAAAAAAGCTAATGGCTCGCCCTCTTGCGATAACACCGCTCCTACTCCACCGCCGCACGCATCGGTTTCCAATACAAAAGGCTTGTGGAAGTTAGGTAATGCTAACACGGGTGCAACACACAATCTTTTTTTAACTCCTCAAAAGCTCCTTGAGCTTGCTCATTCCAATAGAGGTTATTCTTTCGTAGCGAAGTCGGTAAGTGGTTTGTCGACTATACCATAACTTTTGATAAACTTCCCGTAATACCCAGCTAAACCCAAAAACCCTCTCAATTCCTTGACCGATTACGGAGTTGGCCGGTTGCTCACGGCTTCGGTCTTCTTAGGATCGGTGGCTACCCTAGCTCTTGAAATAATGTGGCCTAAGTACTCCACCCGACCTTGACGGAATGTGCACTTGGATCGCCTTGCATGCGAGTCGATACTTAAGCAGAACTTCCAATAACTTAGCAAGGTGTCTGTATATGTGCCTCCAATGTAGGGCTATAGATGAGGATATCATAAAAAAACACCAAAATAAATTTTCTCAAATAAGGCTCCAATACTCGAATTCATCATCGCCCGGAAGGTTCTTTGGGGCGTTAGTCAACCCAAAAGGCATGACTTTGAATTCGTAATGCCCTTGATATGTCCCGAAAGCTGTCTTTGCGATGTCCTCTTCACACATTCGACTTGGTGATAACCCGAACGCAAATCTATTTTAGAGAAAAAATGAAAACCCCGTAGCTCATCCAATAGATCATCAATCGGAGGTATGGGAAATTTGTTTTTGATTGTGATGTTGTTCGGTTGACGATAATCCAAGCAAAATCTCCGGGTGCCATCTTTTTCTTCACTAATAGCACGAAGTGAGGCAAAGGGGCTGCAGACTTGGTTGTATTATCCCATTATGTAGCATTTCCTTTACTAGCTTCTCAATCTCTTCCTTATGCACATAGGAACTACGATATGGCCTAATATTCACGAGGCTTAGCCTTGGCATGAGTGGAATTCCGTGATCAAACCTTCGTATGGGTGGCATTGACTTTGGCTCGGAAAAGACCTTTTCATATTTCATCAATAAAGCTTGTATCTCTTTATTCTCTACCCCTTCGGTTCACTACGAGTCGTAATAGAGAATAATTGCCCCACGACTCCATAGATAGCAGATTTGAGAGACTTATACACCTTGTCCACCGAAATCGGTTGTGATGCGACCTCCTTTGTTACCCCTTTCAATTCAATCACTCTTCCTCCCTTCTTAAAAGATAGCTTCAAATTAATGAAATCAAATAATACCATGGAATACATCCTCAACCAATCCACCCCCAACACCATGTCACATGCCCCCAATTCGAGTACCCTCGAATCGGCTCCGAACTCATGCCCTTGTATGAACCATATAAAGCTCGGGCTCCTGGTCGAACATCTCATGCTCGCCCCATTTGCTACTCATCCTTGTAAGGGTAGTGGTTTTTTCCACCACTCGCATCCACCACTTGCACCACCTTCATACTAATGAAACTATGGGTACCGCCATTATCCACTAAGATAATGATCTCCTTTTGCTTGCAACACCCTTTAATCTTGATGGTGTTATTGGCGTACCTCCTCGCTAAGGCATGCAAAGATAACCTTGTCTCTTCATATTGCCCTTCATTCGGGATCCTCTCCTCCCCAAGTTCTTCCACTTCCTCCACAAAATCATCCTCTTCCCCCTCTAAGCCTTCCATCGTATTCAATGCCTTTTTAACACATTGATGCCCCGGAGTGTACTTATCCCCCTCTAAGCATTGGTTTTATGTCCTCCTTGAGTCCACTAATGAAGCTGGACACAAAGTAGGCTTCGTGAGGTGAGGATTACTAGTACTCATCGGTGATTTAAGCTCTTCAAACTTTTCTACATACCTTTCCACTTCTTTCTCCCGACGAAGTTTATTAAATTCCTCCACTACATCCCCTCTATTACCAAACCTCTTACAAATTTCGCCCACAAATTCCTCCCAATTACTTAGATCGTTCCTAACCATAAAACCTTCGAACCAAATTTCAACTCTCCCTTCCGGATACATGGAAGCAATCTCTACCCACTGGTGTACTAGAATAAAATTCAATTTAAAGTACTTCTTGCACCTCCGAACCTAGCCCCGAGGGTTATCACCCCCAAACCATTGTAATTCTATTTTTGGTAAAGCGGAACCATAACCGGTTCTCATAAAATCAGAAGTTAACGAAGTCTCACCAGTTTGACCTTGATAAGAAGGTTTAACCGTCGCATTCACTCCATGCGATGAACTAGAAGATGACCGAGGCTCTTTTTTTAGGTTCCTTGCTCGACGTCAAAGACTGAATCGTCTTCATTATAGCTTCTAGTTGAAGCCGAGTTCATTGATTTTGCTCTAGCATACACCGATCCCGTTCTTGCATTTGTTGATTTTGCTCCAAGCATTCGCTTTCGCATTTCTTCCATTCCTTCTGAAGCACACCTTGGATCTATTCCTCATGCCTACGATCGTGCTCCTCCAATGCTCTAAGTCGATTGTTGTCTACCATGGTTGGACCTAGAACACCGCTTCGATACCAATTTGTTAAGCGAAAAACTTAACAAAGCTTGAATGTGAAGAAGATAGCTAGGGAGAAAGAAGAAGGATGAAGGGAGGGAGAAAGAGAGAGATTCCGAAGAATCGGTTCGTGATTTTCCAATTCATACCCTCATAGCTAGCCGTTACAACCTTTATATGCTAGCTAATGCTTAGCCGGCGTAACTAACTACCGCCGGGTCATACATGCTATTACAACTATCGGCCACATCATTTATTAGTTACAACGAATCTACATCGACAACTAGCCGTTATTACTAACTATAATGTCTACCTCATCGCTTGCCCTATGTTTGTGACCCATGTATCTCTACCTTGCCGGTGGCTCTTAAGTCGTAACATATTCGTTGGTTTGTCGTCCTGTCTAAGCCACCCTTTCATGGTCATTACTTGTATTGTTCAACACTTGCTTTTACTAGTCAACGAGTGACAATGATAGTGTTGTGTCGTGTATATGTTGTGGGGAAGGTTCCGGTAAGCATGGAGGGATTGGTGGCCTAGCCACCATGGTCAGGCGACAAAGCATAGTAGGGTTTCACATCGACCGAGAGAGAACATTATTGATTTATTTGTTCGATTGTTAATTGTTAAGTTAATTTATTTAATTAACTATATTTTGTTAATTGTTAGGCTAATTAACTAATTAATTCTAAATTAAATTTAACCAAAATTGATTTTTAATTAATTAATTTAATTTAATTAATATTTAGTTAATTAATTAGGTTAATTATGTTTAATTGGTTAAATTAGACTAAATTTGTTAATTAATTAATTTTTTAATTTTTTTAATTAAGTTAATTTAACTATTATTTTAAATTTAATTTGGTTAGAATTAGAATTAATTAAGTTATTTTGATTCATATTTACTTAATTAATTAGGTTAATGATGATTAGTTGAATTATAAGTTTATTCTTATTAGAAATTAATAATTAATTGTTATTTTAAATTTGATTTGATTAGAACTACAATTAATTAAGTTAATTAGGTTTACATTTAATTTTTTAATTAGGTTAATTATGTTTAATTAGTTGAATTAAAATTTTCTTTATATTAAAACTTGTTGATTTGTTGTTATTTTAAATTTAATTTGGCTAGAATTCGAATTAATAAATTAATTAAATTTGGTTTCTATTTAATTAATTAATTAAGTTAATTTTTAATTGAGTTGAATTAAAATTTTATTTATATTAAATTTTTTTAATTAATTGTTATTTTAAATTTAATTATTTTAGAATTAGAATTAATTAAGTTAATTTGATTTTATAATTAATTAATTAATTAGGTTTGTTTTGTTTAATTGGTTGAATTAAAAGTTTATTTATATTAGAAGTTGTTATTATTTTAAGTTTAATTTGGCTAGAATTAGAATTAATTAAGTTAATTTGATTTATAATTTTATTAATTAATTAAGTTAATTTTATTTAATTGGTTGAATTAAAATTTCATTTATATTAAAAAAAATTTAATTAATTGTTATATAAATTATAATTTGGTTGGAATTACAATTAATTTAGTTAATTTAATTTATAATTAATTAATTAGGTTAATTTTTTTCAATTGGTTGAATTAAAAGTTTATTTATATTAGAAATTACTAATTAATTTTTATTTTAAATTAAATTTAGTTAGAATTAAACTGAATTGAGATAATTTGATTTATATTGAATTAATTAATTTGGTTAATTATGTTTAATTGGTTGAATTAAAATTTTATTTATATTACAACTTGTTAATTTATTGTTATTAAAAACTTAATTAGGTTAGAATTAGAATTAATTAGTTTAATTATTTTGTATATAATTATTGAAGTGTGTTGAGATACGTCGTAGTGTATCGAATTGGATGGGTCGAGAGACCCTTGGGAATTAAGGAGAAATAAGATTGGTTCAAGGCTCGCGATAGAGCTAGAAAGATGAGTATGAGATTTAATTTTGATGGAGTATCCGAGACAATTGTTGGTCTCGTATTTACAAATTGCTTATTAATTGATTAATTTATTGTTTGTACGATCATTTGGAGTATTTGTTAATTGAAAAATATATAATTTATTGGAGAGACTCTGTCAAAATTTTATTAGATTTTTAAAAAAATTATTAATTAAATCATTTTATATTATCTCGGAAATACAAAAACAAAATAATAAGATCCGATCATGAATGGATATATGTTCGACGTATAGATGGGTATTTAAATGATGATTTTGTAAATCCGATTGAAGAATTTATTGCATTTGTTAGTAGTCATCCTAAATGTATGAACGGAAGAAAAATAATGTGTCCTTGTAATCACCGTAACACCCTCGACCTATGACCTAAATTGGTCGAGAGTATTATCGATAATGCCTTACATTCGAAGCATAAAGAAAGCAAAACACGAAACCTCATGACCTTTATTATTATAAAGTAATTAACATTTACAACAAAAGCTTAGTAATTTAAAAGTTTAGGTCCATCCTTTTATTCATCACACTTTAATTACAAATTTATTTCAATAATCTTTCAAATATAATTTATTAATAATCTTTATTTAAACTTAACATAATTCGAGATCTCCTAATGAAATATTTTTAATCAAATCATACTTTATAAAATAGAAAGTAATTTAGTCTCCATAAAGCATATTAAGCTGTAAACAATGTTTCGAAATATGCATATGCAAATATATTACATAATAATTATCTCAAAACGTTTCTAAAAATAAAGTTATGGAAACAATGTTTCTGAAAATACATAATGTTTTTGAAAACATACATATAAAAACATATACTACGTAAGACATGTTGTTGTCAAACATAATAATTAATTTTAAAAAAATTTAAGTCTAAATCCATCTTCATTTAATCCCTTTCTCTTAAAATACTTTTGAATAATCTTTCTAAATATAAAATAATCTATTTAACTTTCATTAATTATTAAGCCAATTCAACATGTATAGCATTATTACATAAGCAACTTTTAAAAAATATTTAAATTTCTAAAATCATTTTATAATTTAGAAATCCTATGGACTAGGATAAAGTTTTTAATTAAACTCTTGGTATTTTAATCCTTGTCTTAAAGAAAACTGAATAATTCACTTAATCTTTCGAAAACTATTTTAGTTTAAAATTTGACCTATCCATTTATTTAATTTATAATAATTAAAACCATTTAATATTTTTAGTCATTGACCTTTTATTAGTTTGACTTTTAATTTCTATTTAATTAACTTAATTCCTTGGCTAATTAGCAATTTACTTTCCAAACCAACTAATTAATAAACATCTTGAAATATCTATTTACTCATTCATTCCATTCTAAATTAACAAAGTTATTTTAAAACACAATAGGTTAAACCTATACTAATATTTAAAATACACTTTGGCAAGCTCTTATAACACATTTCCTTTCGACTCATCATCAATTTCACTTTGAGTCTTTAATTAAACAGAATTGTTAGTTTGTTGATTTATTTGTTAAAATGTTGATTGTTAGGCAAATTTGTTGATTAATTAGTTAAATTGTTACATTTTGTTAATTGTTAGGTTAAGTAATTGATTAATTGTAATTCAAATTTAATCAAAATTTATTTTTAATTAATTAATTTAATTTAATTAATATTTAATTAATTACATTACATTAATTATGTTTAATTGGTTGAATTAGACTAAATTTGTTAATGAATTAATTTTTTAATTTTTCTTAATTAAGTTAATTTAACTATTATTTTAAATTTAATTTGGTTAGAATTAGAATTAATTAAGTTATTTTGATTTATATTTACTTAATTAGGTTAATTATGTTTAATTAGTTAAATTATAAGTTTATTTATATTAGAAATTATTAATTAATTGTTATTTTAAATTTGATTTGATTAGAATTAAAATTAATTAAGTTAATTATGTTTATATTTAATTTTTTTAATTAGGTTAATTATGTTTAATTGATTGAATTAAAAGTTTCTTTATATTAAAACTTGTTAATTTATTGTTATTTTAAATTTAATTTAGCTAGAATTAGAATTAATTAATTAATTAATTTTGGTTTATAATTAATTAATTAATTAGGTTAATTTTTAATTGATTGAATTAAAAGTTTATTTATATTATAAAATTTTAATTAATTGTTATTTTGAATTGATATATGTTAGAATTAGAATTATTTTTTGAAGAAATGGTAGCGGATGTTTAAACTTCATTCACAAGATATTGTTGAAGGCGATGTCATTGCTATCTACAGACTAAGGAGAAGCTCATCACATATTTTGATAACCTTTCTTGTCTGTTAAGTTTAACCATTGAATTGTTGTCATCTGATGACGAAAAGATGACATACGGCTGCTTGACCTTGCATTTCATTGATGATGGATGGGAGCAGAAGAAGATTCTTGCTTTCAGGAATCTATCGGGCAATTATAATGCAGAGACAGTACATGAAATCATTAAAAAGAAAATTACCAAATAGTTCTTGATAAACTGCAAACTTAATCAAAGCCTTAGGGATTTGTTTTTTGGTCCACGATTTCTCCGTCTCTCTATTTATGTAATTTAACCCTTGCAATCAGCTTGAAGTTGCTGACGAGAAACAATATATATATATATATATATAAATTAAAAATTTTGTGAAGACCAAAAAGCACTTGAATTCAATTATATTCCTATTATGGCCATTGTTAAAATAGTTTTGATTGGTTGTTGAAAAAATAAAATCATTTCCTCTTTAATAATTTGCTTTTATTGGACCACGTATATAATTAATAAAACATTACAAAAAAAACTAAAAGGCATGGAGGTTTTACTATTTTTTAATTTGTTCATTGTCACACATTAGCATCGTGGATTGAGCTGTTTTTTATTTTTTTTTACCTTTATGTTATAAGCAACCTCTCTTTTGCTTTTAATTATTATCATTGTCACTCGATAGACTTGTGAAAATTCATAATTGCCTTTGATTGATTTTCTTTTTAATTCTCTTTTTTAACCCTTTTTCATCATTTCGTTTTTTTTTCTTTTCTTCGCGTTATAAATGGTCTTCTCTTTCACTCTTAATTACACTTATTGCAACTTAATGGATTTGTGAAAATCTATAATTACCCTTAACTTATTCCTTTTTTTTATTTTTCTTTTAGCCCTTTTTAATCAATTCACTTTCTTTTCTCTCGAGCATTTAATGTTGCTATCATTGCCTTTTTTTTTCTTCCTTATTTCTTAGGAATGATTAAATTGCCATTCTAGAAAAAAAAATTATAAATTAGTCCCTCTTTCTTAGTAAAACAAATCAATTAGTCCATCTAATTTCAAAAACTAATGTTTTTGTCCTTTTTTCTACTTTTCAATTTCTTTTTTTACTTTTTTTTTTTTTTTGTTTAAGAAATAGAAAAGAAAAAAATAGATAAAAATATGAAAAAGATTGATGAGAAAAAAAACATTTTAAAAAATAAAAAAGACAAAAACGTTAGTTTTTGAAATCAAATGGACTAATTAATTTGTTTTCCTAAGAAAGAGAGACTAATTTATAATTTACTCTAGAATAGCAATTTACTCATTCCTACGAAATAAGGAAGAAAAAAAAGGCAATGTTCGTCGTCCTACGAAATCAAATGGGCTATTTTTTTTTCTTTTTGTTTTAAGAAATAGAAATGAAAAAAATAGATAAAAATATTTATAAAAAAAAATTGATAAGAAAAGAAAATCTTTTAAAAATAAAAAAATTAATTAATTAATCATGGTCAATACTAGTTAAAAAAATTAAATAATTATTTTTTAAAATCAAAATGACTAATTAATTCATTTCTCAAAGCAAGAGAGACTAATTTATAATTTATCTATCACTATTTACACATCAACTACATAAAAATAGTACAAGTAATATATAATTTGCAACAACATAAAGATTTTTGCGGTTAATAAATATATCTATGGCGATTAATAATTTTATATTTTGTTGGATTGCAAACAAAACATACATGTATAATAATAACCAAGAGTGAGGACTCATTTAATTTGTATTGTTGTTGTGCGGGTGAGGAATTCTTGAGTAAGTGTGCCCCCGATCGAACTATGAATGGACATCTAACTTGCATTGTAATTAATTAAATGCCTTAATTAAAATCAATTTTTGACTACCTAATAAATGATTGTGAGTTGTAGAGTTCTATTCTTAAAACACTAAAAAAAAATACTAATTCACAACACCTAATTGCATTGCTCATTATCACTAAATTCTACTATTTATTTTCACTATTGTTGATATTTTTACACTTTAATCTCTCATGTTTTTAGTAAAAATAAATAAATAAATTTGATCCCAAACTTTATTTGTATTGCCATATGGTCCTTGAATGCTTACAGGAGACAAAAGACAGGAGAGAGAGAGAGAAAAATGAGGGTCATTCCAACCACATCTATTGTTGATATTATCACTAATTTGTTTATCTTGAAGAATACAATCTGCTAGTGGTAGTTACAAGTCATGAAATGGCTTGAAGATATAGATCATGATCCGAAAATATTTTAAATTTTTTGAATTTGATTTGAATTTTTATGTGTTTTATGCGCATTAAAATAAATTTTGAGACTCCAAAATAGTTTTTTGACATTATTTTTGTGATTGTAAGTTACTTTTTTTTTTAACACAATAAGACTGAATTTGAATTTACGGAAGCTAGAAACCAAAAACATGATTTTTCGACAACGTTTTCATTGAACTCTAGCTTGCTAGAAATTGTAGTGGTTTTTTTAAAAAAAAAAAATCTTTCCCGACGGGGTTGGCTCCTCCATGCCCGGACATGTGGGCCTAGTTCTTAGGCTGGACAACGTTTTTTTTTTTCAATTTTTTTCTAAATATTTTTATGTAAATATTTTGGAATGTCGAACGCTATGTTTTTTCTCGAGCGAGTCTAACAAGAAACAAACATATATGATATGTTTTTATATTTTAAAATACACATATATTTTAAATTATATTATTTTTATTATTTAAAATTTATTTCTTCAATTTGTCATTTCTTATAGAGATTGTCATGCAATTAATTTTTATTTTAAAATTTTATTTTGTTTAAATATTTTTTTATTATTCTTTATGTATGGATTTTAAATAAAATTTTAGAATGTGATTATTTTATTTTAAAAAATAAATTTATATGATGAACTCTTAGAATTTTTAAATGATAGTAGTAAATATTTCCTCTTTAATATTTTGTTTTGATTGGAGCACGTATATAATTAATAAAGCATTTATCTCTATAATAAGAAAGTGGTAATCCTTTTAATGAACGGATTTGCTCAATTTTTTTTTTCCGTAAATACTAAATTTCGGGTTGCATTCCCCTAAATACTATTGTCTGCAAAGGTAAAGATAAAGAGAATCTATTGAATACGCGTCATTGATTAATTTTGATAAAAGAGTACGTAGATAATGCACATATATAGATAACCAAGCATGATAAGTGTCAATAAACTTCAAAAATCTTTGAGATAAACGTGCAAAACCCAGCTTCTTCTCTCCCCTCACTTAGGCACCGTTTTCATTCCCCAATTCATGCGGTTTACCCAAATCTGCCACTATATATATAACGCAGCCCTATCCTTGTATATCAACTAAAAAATAAATAAATAAAACCAGCTTCTTCTCTCCCCTCTCTTAGTTTTCTTTCTCGATCGGTTTCCTTCTTGTTGTTCTTCTTTCTCATTGATTGATCAGAACCCTATTCTTGTTTTGCATAACAATGCAAAGCAGTTTTTCTCGCTTTCCTGCTGGATTCAAGTTCCGCCCCACTGATAAACAATTGATAGCTATTATCTATACAAGAAAGTTAACGGAGGTTTATCCAACGAATCTGCTGCCTTGGTTAAGGATTACAATCTTTACGGTGAAGAAGAACCCTGGGAGATATTCAACAAGTTTGGAGGTTACAAGTCACGTGATAATACTCTCTATTGTTTCACAACAATAAGTAAAAAGACTCCCAATAGTGCTAAAAAGATGAATAGAACTGTTGGTACTAATGGGGGTACGTGGCATGGTGATGGTAGCGATGAAATAAAATTCAGACTATCCGGTAGAAAGATTATAGGAACGAAGAAAAGATTCCGTTTCCAGAATTATCGACAACCAGACCAGCATGGTTGTTGGATAATGCTGCAGTATGGTGCAGAATCTATTTCGGAAAGCATTGTGATTTCTCAACTCAAAAGGAGTGAATATGGTAATTCAAAACAAGAATCAAGAAAGAGGAATTCGATGGATTCAGAAGTTATTATCGAACTTGCTTCAGATGATGAGATAGTCCATACTATTCAAAGCTGTGTCAACACTGATGCACTAATCAACTCAGAACTTACACCATCACCAGCTAATCATGAACCGCATCAGATTATCCAAAATCAAGATATGTGGCCTGTGGTGGGAACAGTTTCAATCGAGGAGGACGAAGGTGACTCAAGTAGTACTGAAGGTAGTTTCTATAATATTCAGAATATAATGGGGTTTGAGACACCGGAAATCATCAAAATCAAACCTGCCTTGCAAGTTGAGCCGAAGCAAGTAAACTTCGTTCAAGAACATCAACAGCCGGCGCTTGCAACTTCTGAGAATTCAGTACCAGCAGTGAGTGCTATGGCTGTTATGGATGCTGACATGATCGAGTACTTCAAGAATGAGGACAACTGGTTTGATAATCTCCAAGCATTGCTAATGGAGGATTGCTCTCAAGATGATTTGATTGATTTAGGGAGATTATGATCATGAAGACTGGACCTATTTCTGACGGGAGGATTGGTTTTTTATGTTTTTTTTTTTAAAAGGATTATTATTAGCATGAAATTAAGTTGTAGTGGTAGAAATATTTTCATTTGTTGGGATCTTAGGCATCCTTGTGGTCCATTGGTTAAACATTATGGTCATGGAACCAAGATTATGATTTCTGTACTGTATATTTGTCATCCAGATTTATAGTGTATAAAAATGTTTTTTTAAAAAAAAGGCCCCTTGAAGAGGACTTCTTTAATATTTAAATTTCTTGCTCTATTTCACGCAAACAAAGTCAATGGAGGAAATTAACGAATATAGAAGAAGCAAGTGGGATGAGTGACATTTCATACTTTTCCCTTCCAAGCAAAGAAAAGGCGGAAAGAGCATTTGATTCTGCTCATCGAATTTTGTTGCTTAAAATGGCCAATCCTCTCTTCTGCAAATTGATGGAAAGTGCTAAAGCTATTGAAGGCGGTAATCTGGATCTTGCAGAGTCAAATCTGAACGAAATCAGATCTCTGCTTTCTACTGAAGTCAACATAGCAACAAGGAAGGTTGTCAAATATTTTGCAGAGGCTCTAGTCCGGCGAGTCAACGGATTGCATCCTCGATATCCTTTGCCGTTAGTACCTTCATCAAAATTAGATGACTTCTACAATTACGTGTTTTATCCTTTCTACTGGTTTTCTTACTTCACCACTAAACATGCCATTCTTGATGCCTTTAGTAGAACTGGTAATAAACCTCTCCATGTTATTGATTTTTCAGTCATGCTATACACCTCTTTGTGGCATGATTTGATGCAAGACCTTGCAAAGCGGCCTGGTGGCCTGCCATCATTTCGGTTAACCAGCATCATGCCAAAACTGTCGAAGAACTTTGACTATTTCAATCGAATACGCAGCCAACTCACTGGAGGTGCTAATTCTCTCCAGATTGATTTTGAGTTGAGACAAGTGGTAGCCAATAATGCGAACGATATTGTTGAGTATTGTTTGTCCAAGCTTAGAAGGACAAGCGAGGATGAGATGCTAGTTGTGAGATGGTCGTTTTCACTTCACAAGTTGCTTTCACAGGAAGGTGCAATCGAGCAAGTGCTGTCAAAGATGAAGGATTTGAAACCAGACATCATGATCATTGTTGAGCAGGAAGGCAACCATAACGGGCCTGATTTCCTGGACCGGCTTGTTCAATCATTTCAATACTACTCCACTATATTTCACTCGCTAGAGGAGGACAATTTCTACCGCGATGTTGATTGCATAGAGTTGTGGAAGAGGAACTTTAGGCGGCAGATAGGGAATGTGGTGGGATGTGAGGGCATTAACAGGTTTGAGCGGCATGAGTCATTGTATCAATGGCAACATCGCCTTTCTCATGCCAGGTTTCATCCTGTTCACAAATGGTGGAAGGAAGATAGACTCCGTTTCTCGCCAAAATACAGAATAGAAGAGAAGGATGGGCACCCTGTGCTATATCGGGACAATTGCCCCCTTCTTGTCACCTCGGTTTGGAAACATTCTGACCCAACTCAGTTTAGGAATGGTGAATTATCTCCCCCATTCTTTTCCTTTCTGTTCTGTTTATCCTTTGTTTTTAAGAAATGTGGACAATTGGTAATCTCTTTGACAGATTCTATCACATTACAAGATGCAACTATGTTCCCTCTAGCTGAGAAGTCAGAGTTAGCAACTTCTTCCGAGTCTGAGGATGAACAAGCAGATGATAGGGAAGGCAATATGTGGTCTCCAAGGGTTGCATTCTAAGTTTCCTTTCATTTTCTTCTAGTTTGTAATTTTATTTTCAATCTTCTTGTTTGTTAATGGAATGAATCCTACATATTCCAGTAATTTCTTCTAACAAAACTGGTGAAGATTGCATCAATAGCCTAATTTGATTGCTCGTAGACCCTAGTTCTTGTGTTTGTAAACTATAGAAAACTCATCGACAGAAAATTAGTGACAACTATACATTAATTTGTGAGAATCGAATTCGAGATGATTTGTGCTTTCCTAAACTTGTTCAACTAATTCATAAATTGAAATTTGTTGCTTCCGCTGTTCTTAATTACTGATATTAGAATTGTTTTATTATTCTTTCAGGGCTTTTCGAAGAATCATATAGCTGCTTCAGCTAATCTATTTGACATATTGGAGCATGTATGTCATGTACGTAAGCTTCCATTGGCATTGACATGGGTTTGCCATGTTGGAAAGAGTAATGCAAATTCAAGGGAGAAACGTATTCTACATATTGAGGAGATGGCTTGCTATGTAAACAGTTGTTGGGAGAATAGATTCGTTGGTGGATATGCAGAATGTTATATTAAGGAAGGGCAAGGTATTGCTGGAAAAGCACTTCAATCTAATCTGTATTTTGTTCCTGATATTTCTCTGTTGGATGTAGTGGATTATCCATTCGTTGACCATGCGCATAAGTATTTCCTTAATGCTGCTGTTGCAATCAAGCTAACAAGCACCTATACCAGCAGCGATGATTACGTATTAGAATTTTTTCTCCCTCCACATTTGAAAGAAAGTTCAGAAAAACATATGTCAATTAATGGACTCTTGTGCACTTTGCGGAAGAAATGTGGTAATTTGTGGAAATTTGGTGTATGGACATGAATGGGCCTAATGGCTCCGAAGGAATGTTTGGAGGGGTAGTTGTGTCTAGCATCCCACCAGCACCAGTTTCTAGGTGCTCTCAACTGGTACTATCAGATGGTGTTTCAAGCTTAAATGAAATCATGGCATTAGACATGTCTAACCCAACCAGTGATGGAGGGGAAACACTTGAGCCTCTTGAACCGGTGAGTTTCTTAGTTTAGTCTATATCGGTACATTTTGGCTATAAATAGCTTCACCCTTCATCCATCTTTATGTTGTTATTCTGTTGACAGGAAAACACAGAACAAAATGCAATGGTTGGACCTGCTGTAAATTCTGAAAGTGAGTTGGCTAGCAATGGCAGTGCCAACAGAGAAATGGTCATAAGGAAACGACGAAAGGTATCCAGTGTGTGGGAGGGATTTAATAAGCATGAAGGAAAATATGGTGAAGTATGGGCAACATGTAAATATTGTGATAAGCAGTATCGAGCAGAAAGCACGAGGGGAACTTCGAATTTGCATACTCACTTGAAAAAATGCTTGTCTAAGAGGCAGGGAGGAGCAGAACTACAATCATCACCTTTGCTTGAAACTGGTGTTTTAAAAAATGGAAATTTTGTGTTTGATCAAGAAAGAAGTCGTCTAGACATCGCGAGAATGGTGATTAAGCATGGATATCCATTGGATATGGTTCAGCATGAATTATTCGAAATTTTTGTGAAGAATTTGCAGCCATTGTTTAAACTTCATTCACAAGACATTTTCGAAGAGGATGTTCTTGTTATTTATAGACTAGAGAAGGAGAAGCTGATCAAATATTTTGATAGCCTCTCTTGTCTGTTCTGTTTAACCATTGAACTGCTGGCGTCTGATGACAAAAAGATGACATTCTGTTGCTTGACCTTGCATTTCATTGATGATGGATGGGAGCAGAAGAAGAAGATTCTTGCTTTCAAGAATCTATCATCCAACTATGATGCAGAGACAGTACATGAAATCATTAAAAGTGTGCTTATAGAGTGGGGCATCGGCAAGAATTTGTGTTTCATATGGTTGAATATTGCTCCTCCAAATGATCAGATGATTGGTGAATTAAAAAGCAAGCTTTCTGACCAAATCTCACTTCTCAATCCGGATGTATGTTATTTATCTTCTTATGCACAAATCGTTCATCTTCTGATTCAAGATGGATTTTCCGAGATAAAGAGTGTGCTTTGTAAGATAAGAGAATCTATTGAATACGTCAGTGGAACACAGCATAGGAGACAAATGTTTCAGGAGGTAATCAATCAACTGAAGTTGCAAGACCAGAAGATGGCTTCTCTAGATGTTCCTACAAGATGGGATACAACATTTCTGATGCTTGAGAATGCATTAAAATTGAGAAATGCATTTGCTCACCTTGAACAAACTGATGGCGATTTCAAAGCAAATCCATACGTGGAAGAGTGGAACATGGCGACAATCATATTCGAGTGCTTGAAAGTATTGCTATTGCATGAGTCCGTATGCAATGCTTGGACAGGCATAGAATTGTATTTTCTGAATGTTTGTGGTGTGTTTAAGAATTTGATCCAATGGAAAAAGAGTCAACACATACATGTTCGCTCGATGGCGAATAGAATGATGGTGAAATTTGATAAGTATTGGAACAAGTGTTGCTTGGCTCTGGGAATCTTAACAATTCTCAACCCATGCTTTAAACTTGACTTTGTGGAGTATAGCTACAACCAGATTTATGGCAGTGATGCTAAATCACAATTGTCAAGATTCCTTGATGATCTTAAAAGTGTATACTATAGATATGCTAATAATCTGACACCATCTACTTCCAGTACTGTTGCCGATGTGAATTGCTGTGCATCATTTAATCCAAATTCTGACGATATGCTTCACGGATTCAGCATGTGGCAAAAGCGTAAAAAAGAATCGAGTTCGGTGGAATCATGGAAAGTCGAACTTGATCAGTATTTAGAGCAAACTCCAGAAAACTTGAGCAAGGATTATAGCGTATTGGATTGGTGGCATGCCAATGCTCCAAAATTTCCAATACTTGGAAGGATGGCTCGTGATTTCTTGGCGACTCCCATATCAGCTATTGTTTCAAAGTCTTCTGTAGCTGAAGAAGTAGTGAAGATGAATCCAAACTTTTCTGGCGTATGTCCTGAGATAGTTGAGGCTTTAGTCTGTGGAAAGGATTGGCTGGAAAGTCCTGAAAGGAAGTAAGTTTTCTTTTACAAATTTTTTTGCCACTCTAATTAATATATCTGGTGTCTGCTGCTTTTCTTTTCGGTTTTTTATGTTGAATCTACTGTTATTTTCAGCTGGAAAATGTACCGTTTCTCTTCATCATAAAAAATGAAAAATGTAAAGCCAAAATATGTTTGGCTGTTAATTGATGTTTAGATTCACCAAAATTCAGAGTTGGAATATATTTTCACATACTAATTATGTAAGAAATTAGAGCTCGTTGTCTAAACTGCAGATAACGCAGCTTATGCATCAAAAATGGCTGGTGGTGCTCTAAAGGATGGTTTTCAAGAAAATAATTTTGCCAAAAGCATTTTAAAGGCCATCTTTCTTCTTTGTTTCCAAGAACAAAATTTACAAAATTTTGTCTTCCGAGTAAAAAGTCAGAAGAACTAGGCTGGAAGGTAATTCTCAGAGATAAGATAGCAACTAATACGGTGCACTGTTTTCCATGCAGCAGGATCAACCAGGACTGAGTTGGTGACTGAGTTGGTGCTTATTTCGGTGGTGCAACCTTATCAATGACTATAGCCATCAGTTCGAATAAAAATTCAGGAATTTCAACTAGATTTTACACATTGAACTCGTGCTGTATATTCTGTAAATGTTCAATAACTATAAATGTTCTTCTTCATTACTTTTCTGATGTTGTCATTGCCCATGAATACTCGTAAGAGTAATGATAGAATGCCAAGTTTTTTTTTCCGGTCTCTCCATCTGTGAGATCCAATTTTTCCCGTGTGCCAAAGCCTTAACATCAGCTCAGCATTTTTGGTTACGTTGTCAAAACTGCGATTTTAGAGGATTTAAGATTAATCCAGTATGTTTTGGTGCTGGTAGCCTAGATTGGTGAGAGATTTGATTAGATTTCATTACCTAACTTGCTTAAGACAAATCATCAAACCTTTGGGAAGTTACACCAGTGATTTCATCTTATTTGTTCTTAAGAATAATCAACATTAACATGTGAAGAACCCAAATTTCTAATTTCCCATGTTGAGGTCCAGCTCAAAGTCAGGACTTTAACCGTGCATATTTTAATATTCAAATCATCCCTGAAAATCCAAGGATCACTTTCTCTATCCTATTGCACAAACTCTTCAACGTTTGATATGTTCATAAGAGTGGTTATCGTAAGAAGATGGGATGCAATAGCTCTCTGCATGATAACCAAAAGCATACTTGCTCACTTCTTTACAGCTTCGAGGTCCTCTTTACCAAATTACCATACATGATGATGATTTCATCAATGAAATATTAGATGGAATAGTAAGAATTAAGTGCTTTGTTCAAAAAGAATCCAATTTTCCTAAAACCATTCTGTGTTGGAAGCTTAGCCAGGGCCTCCCATAATACTTACAACAGGAAACCAAAATTAATTCCCAAGCCTCATTCACTAGTTGGCATTGACAGATTCTATCGTGGACTAAACTCAATCTAATATGATAATTATACTCTCACAATAATGGACCATCAAATCAATCAACAAGTGTAAATGAATTGAATGAAGAAATCCAATTCTTACACCTACCAATATTCAACTTGTGAAAACTAATTGGGCATACAATGATGCTTCAAGATTCTCAACTCTCAATTAACAGAACATACATGAACATCAAATTATATTAAACTAGCGAAAACAAATTGAAAATTACATGAGAACCAAAAGGGATTGACACTAAACCTGCAAGAAAAACCTTGAGGTATAGCTCAGACATTCTTCAACTTCTTCATCTTAGAAGGCGGCCAACGACCCTTCTTTCTCATTCTCCTCTTCCTAACAAGTCTCTTCCTTCGAAGCCTGATCTTTCTCGCCAATTTCATCTTCAACTTCTGTTCTTCTCTCTCCTTTAACTTTGACTCCAATGGCAACTTATCAAACGATGCGACCTCCTCTGTACTTTCTACAGGAGGGTCACTGTTTTCTGTAGGAGCTGTTCCATCAATATCCGAAGAAGCTCTTACAATAACTTCACCAATTCTGTTTCCAAGAAATGGGTTCTGAAACTGAACTCCATTCCAAGACTTAAACTTTAATTCGAAGGGTTTAACGTGCAGCCTGGAAACTGAAAAATAACACAATATCAGATATGGGACTCCAAGACTAAATTCAAGTAAAAAAAATAATAATAAAGATTTACTAGTTTTAAACAAAACCCAGATTAAATCATGGGCAATACCAGCAAAAATGAACAATCCTCACAGTAACTAATACAGAAAGCATGAGCATCAAGTTAAGATATGCGTCTTTAAGACTAAATCCAAGTGAAAGATCAAATATTTAGAAATTTTAAGCAGAACCCAGATTGAATTATGGGCTATAACAGCAAAAATGAACAAGCTTTATAGCAACTAATATACAAAGCATGACCATTCAAGAAATGGTTATAGTTACAGTAAGCAAGATATAAGTGTTTGATGAAATTCCAGTCAAGCATGAAGTGAAACCAGACAAACTTATACTAAAAAGTGCTCAAAAAACAACAATCATAAAATGCATACTAGATTAAGCCCAAATCAGCAAAAACTGCAAAATGAAGCAAATTTAGAGACAAAATGGATACCTGGGATTGCAGTGAAGGCCAAAGTTGGAGATGAAAATGAGGAAAAAGATGGAATTGAAGAGAGAGAGGTTAGCGGATTGGAGAAGAGAAGGAGAGACATTATTGTTTTTTTTTTGGTTTCCTTGTTTACGTTGTCAGTGGCATTTCTGCGTGGTTTTTTTCATTTTATTTTTTGGATAAGGAAATGAGCTCTGCCTTGGTTCGCTCTCACCCAGAGAAAATAGAGTGGAAGGAAAAAACTTCAGACGAGTTTCGAAACTTCCAACTACGTTTTTTTTTATCCCTTTTCTTTTATTGTGCAAAATTTAAATTTTAATTGAGTATATTATAAATTAGTCCCTCTAGCTTTAATAAATAAATTAATTAGTCTTCCTTGTGTTAAATTTTTTTAATCTGATAACAAGTATTGATGACAATTAATTTAATATTATTTTATTTCAAAAAATATTTTTTTCATCCATTTTTCTATAATATATATTTATTACTTTTTAAAAAACTAACAAATTAGAAAAGAACATAAAATGAATTAAAAAAACTAAATAATTATTTTTTGAAATGGAAAAGACTAATTGATTTGTTTCTCAAAACTAGAGAGACTAATTCATAATTTACTCAATTTTGTTTTATTATTCTATAAAAAAATAATTTTTTTTAGCACAAAAACTTAAGTAATTCTATTCCTCCCAAAATATATATTAAATAAGTTTCTAATTAGTAATTTATATTATTTGCTAAATGCATTTAGCATGTATATTATAGGATCAATAGCTTTATTCTTTTTTTTTTTTTTTTGTTTAATTTGTGTAATAAGAAGCGAGCTTCTTAGAAAATGAGGATCAACTATCTCCCACAGATTTTCTAGCTTCCTGATTTTCTTTTCTAATTTAAAATTACACCATTCGTGACAATTTTTGTATAAACCCTTAGCCCCACTCCTTCAAAAATACTTTGCAATAATTCAATGAGGAATCAAAATGACCGGTATGATTTTAGAAACCTATTGAATATATATTATTTACAAAAGGAAATGCTTAATCAGAAGTTCAAAAGGACTTTTATCCAAATATTAGTTTTAAGCTATAAACAAATATTTAGTTATTGAACGTCCAACATCAGTGACTTTGGGCCTAGACTTAGTAAGTCTTGAATCTTGAGAGTTGATTTCTAATCCTTTACTCAGCTCGTAATTCATCCATGTTTTTAGCTGGGCTTTTCTTTGGGCTAAAATTAACTCAATTGTGATCTAAAATACGTACGCCAATGTCCAGGTCTTAAACGAGCCCAGTTGCTTGGCAGTCTGGGGCCTACTGGGCTTAGGTACACGGAAACCAATTTTGTCAGTCTCGCAAGAGAGAGAATAAAGGAGAACGGAAAGGAGGAAAGAGAACAAACTTTGCTTGGCGGCCTGTGGTCTAGTGGGCTTAAAGACATGGAATCCAATTTTGTCGGTCTCACAAGAAAAAGAAGGGAGGAAGGAAAACCAATGTCAGCCGTGATCCACACTCCGTAGTTGCTTTGAAGCAGCAAAACAATGGCAATTAGATGATATACTGAGTGCACAGTTTTACCAAGTGCTTAAAGGCATGGTTAGTCATGTACAGAACTGGCAAGAATGCTAATGGAATGGCTCATCCAGGCTACAAACAAGGATTGGAACTGAGCCTAATGAGTCAAGTTAATGTTTAATATGCTACTTAATGTATTTATACGGCTATAATCTTCTTCCAGCAAGTTCTTGGACATGGAAACTGCACAGAAAGAGAAGGGATGTTTTTTAATTCTGACTGACGAACATCGCAGGCACAGCTGAATTTCTATGGTAGAAATTTGCGTCTGGTTTATCTGTTACATCAAACATGAAATTTGTTACGACAAATACATATCCTAAAACTGAAAGCTCATACAAACAACAAAGTGGACAGATAAACTTCTTTGTCGCTTAAATCCAGTACCAAAAATAATCAGTTTGATCTTCCTTTCTTCAATTTGGGAAGTTTTTTTCACTTCGTACCAAGGAGAAAGAAAAGGTTTCTTGCTGAAAACTTTCTTACTGAGAATAAGAGCAAGGAGATGGGACAAGTCAAAAATCTGGAGCACTGATTCAATATTCCACATTCACTACCAGCCCAAATGACCGGAGAAAGGAAATAGCTCCCTCAAACAAGATTTTATACCTAACCGCTGTGACTAATGAGTGGACACATTTGAGAACTGAAGTTTTTGGGAGATCATGTGGTACAGTAAACAAGACAGAGATGAATGACATTTTGTAAACAATGTTAGAAATCACATTTGCTCCTAGACCTAAAGAGATATTTCATAAAGACCTTTCCAAAACACAATTTGAACCATGAAAGAAAATGAGCATGGAGCTGTTCAATATTCATACGGCTATAGAATAGAGGGCACAGACATCAGGAAAATAGGAATTGAAGGACTCCGGTTGAAATTAATGACCATCGCATCATTTTATCCTATTTCTCAACCAGGGATTCACAGAATTTAAAGTCAATATAACTTCATCTCTACACCTTACGAGCCACATAGTATATATTTACATAACGGCTAAAGTAGATTTCACCATCTCTGATTCAATCTTATAAAAAGAGGAAATCAATCAATCTACAATTATAAGACTTAATAATCAAACCAAATCTATAGAAAACATAAAGAAACTTGCAAATGTAAATCCTTCGTTAAGATTGGCAATATACCTGCAAAATAAGAGGCGAGAGAGTTTAGACATTCTTCAACTTATTTACTTTTGAAGGTGGCCACTGTCCCCTCTTCCTCATCCTTCGCTTCCGATCAAGCTTCTTCCTCCTAAGCCTTATCTTCTTCCCCAACTTCATCCTCATCTTGTGCTCAAGTTTCAACTGCAGCTTTGAATCCAAAGGAAGTTTGTCAAGAAGCACATCCTCCTCTTCATCGTCACTTCCAGACACAGGTTGCCCACTATCTGGACCCGTCCCCTTACCGTCAGACGACGCCTTAACAATCAACAAACCCTTTCCCATTGCAATAGTGGGGGTGCTTTGGCAAATTCCATTGAAAGATTTTGAGACTAGACCAATGGGTTTCAAGGATAAACTACAAGCTGAAAACCAGTACCAATCCATGGATTTCTGAGCATATATAAAATCAAAAGTAGGCACAAAAAGAGGCAAAACGAGGATAACTAAATCTACAGCAGTGACTTGTTTTGTTTGAAAGAAAGCCCAACGAGGAAAAAAACTCTTTTCATTTTTCTTTTCACCAAGGCCCATGTTTTCCCTTTTCATTTTCTTTCCTATGAACACAGCAAGAGCTCAAATTGGCGATAGACAGAGACTTACATGGGAAAGCAAGAGTAACCCTGGTTGACGAAACACCATGTAAAGAAGCTGAAGAGGCAATTGGCCCAGAGACACGAAGAGCCATTGGTAATTGTTTGCTTGCTCTCTATCTCTCTCTCTCTCTCTGGAAATTTCCAAATTGCAATCACATAAACCCTAACCCTAGATAAAGAACATACGAAACTTCCCGGTAATTAAAATCCACCAGTTACGAAGTTACAAAAATGCCCCTAGAAATATTTGTCAGCATTAGATCATTTTAAGGTCAAAATAGGTGCACCAACGAAAATAAGCATTGCCCGCCATTTTTTTGTACAAAATTTCAATTCAACCCATGATGTTTAAGTGTTATCTCAATTTCACACAAGAATCTTTGGTTTGTTCAATTAGTCTCCTATACCTTTCATTTTCAATCCAATCAAGCCCCTGTAACGTTTGTCTGTAGTGTCGTGTTCCAATGACATATTCAATAGCTTTTTCTTATCTTATAAAGCACCCACTTTAGTCCTTCTTGAATAAGAAGATGAACAATTTGTGCATAAGAAGATAAATAACAAACGTCCGCATTGAGAAGTGGGAAGTCAGAAAGCTTTCATTTGGAGGAGGATCAATATTTAATAATATGAAATTCAAAATTTTGTCCATACCACACTCTATGATGAAAGGATATGTACAAAATAAATAAATAAATAAAATATTATATTTGGTTTGTGGAGATGGAAATAAAATTCGTTTTTACTTCTGTATCTGAGACACATAAACAAAAATGAGTGAAATTTTTGTACCTTGTTTTTTAAGAGACGTGCAAGACGGAAACAAAAACAGGAAAAAAAAAAAAATATTGAAATTTTATTCCAAAACTATCTTTATTAACCTTACAAAATTCTAAGTCATGCCCTTCTCTTCTCTTGTCTGTGAATAACAAGAATCAAGAACACCTCTTTCCACAATGCCTTGTGAATGAAGTTTAAATGTTGGCTGCAAATTCTTCACAAAAAAATTCGAAAAACTCATGTTGAACCATATCCAATGGATATCCATGCTTAATCACCATTCTTGCGATGTCTATCTGGACAACTTCTTGCTTGATCAAACACAAATTAAGTTCTAGCCCTTAGGGTTATTATTATTATTATTATTATTTTGCTAGTGAATATTAGTAGTATGTTCTTACTTTTATTTATAGTTTTTTTCCCCAAAATAGTCTTATATTTGACAAAAAAAAAAAAGAACCAATAATTTAAGAAATACTATATATTTATAAATCAATTCAATACATTTACTATAAAATTAAAACAAATAAGGAAAAATAACAGTGTTTTATCTGTTTATTTAGATTCATTTTTACCGTTGATGCAAACAGTGCAACTTTCTTTTCTTTTCGTTTTTTTTTTTACTTTTGTTAAACAACTGTGCAAAACAATTTGCTTTATTTTGTTTTACACTGTGCAAAACAGTTTTTTTCACACAAATAACTTTACACTGTTCATTTTGTTTTACCATTCCCGGTCTTTTGGGTCTTCTTTTCCGCATGCAGCGATTTGCCCACTAAAGTTGCATTTTTTTTTTTTTTTTGCCCTTATATTTTTGCTTTATTTTCTTTTATGCCATTTGTTGTTGTATTGTTTTACTTCCTTGACCTTTGGTTTCTTTCCTTTCATTTCTTTGTTTTCTTCCTTTTTCGTAACTTTCTCTTTTTATCCAATAGCATTTAATGCTCCATGATGGGGTTGCAAGAACATTCTTTTGCTTGCAAATAATTGATGCATGCTAAGTAACAGCTGCTAAGTTCTTTTTTTCCCGGCTGTTGCAGCTTAGTTCGTTTTTTCCCCCATTTAGTGTTCATTTAAATAGTACCTACGTCTTATTTGTTTTTTTAAATAATTGTAGTTAGAATTAATTCTTTTTTTCCTCATTTACTGTTCATTTGAACAGTACCACGACTTATTTAAAAAAAAAATAACTACAATTAAAATTTTAAAGTAATCAATAATTAAACTGGGTGCTAAAAGGAATCAACAATTTATGTTCTTTAATATTTATTTCTAAAGTTTAAAATATCAGTCCATTTAATATTAAAAAAGTACATATATTATACTAAAAAATTTAGTACTAAAATAAGATACTTTTGCATTATTAAAAAAAGATATATCAGTTCATTTAATATTTATAATGGTGCATTTTAGTAAATAAATTATTTTTTCATATATATATATTTTTTTTTGTAATTTTCATGTTGTTTCACTTTCGTCCTTAAAATTTTAAAATAAAAATTTTAATCTCCTAACTAATGCACTACACATGCTTTTTTTCTTTATTTTTTTCATCAATTTATGTTCTTTTTTTATTTAATTAGGTGTTAAAATTTTGAAATCATTTTTTCCTTTGCTTTTTTGTCCAATCAATTTTTTTTATTTAATTGGGTGTTAAAATTTTAAAAAATCAATCGTAACTTTTTTTATACAAACTGACGATTATATAATATATTTTTTTACATTTTAAAATTAATATATAATTCAGCTTATATTAGTCTTATTATTTAAATTTCATTCTTTGCATTTATCATTTTTTATTGAAAAATACCATCCAATTAATATTTTTTGTATGAAATTTCATTTATTGATATTATATAATTTATTTTTTCTATGTTTGAATTTTAGAATAAAATTTTAAAATATAATTTTTTTCTTTTTTACAAAATAAATTGGTATAATATATATCATGAATTCTTAAACTTTTTAAATGATAGTTGCATATGTAAATAAATATATAATTATTTTATTTTAAAAGGTTAAAAGTATATTTTAAATAATTTATCTCAATTTACTAAGCATGGTTAAGACATATAAAAAAATTATTGAATTGTTAATTTTATTAAAAATTAACTATATATCTTTCAACATAATGCAAATTATTTACAATAAATTTTTTTTAACATTATATAACCAATTTATTTGAAATCAGATAATTAAAGTAATTTTTTAAAGGAACCAACCAATTATTCAAATACTATTTTTTATGCTAATTTTATTGATTATTTTGCAAGTAAATATATAGATATCAAATGAATATACTTGGAAAAAAAATCTCACCAACATTAAATAAGAATAAAATTTTATTTTTTCATTAGCTAATTTTTATACAAGTCTATGAATTAATTGTAACTTTATTTTTTGCATACATTCTTATAAAAAAAAAAAAAGATAATTTTAAACTATTTGTTTTTAAATTCTTAATTAATATTTCAGGTTTGAATTATTACAAGTTTTTATTTGAAAATCCCTGAATAAAGAATAACAAATTATGTTTTTTGAAGTTCAAGTTTTATGAAAAACAAAAAAAATAAAAAAGGTAATATTAAATAAAAAATTATTGAAAAAATTATAACATTTTGAAATAATTTTGTTCTATTTGCCAATAGTATTACGCAGATAGTTTCCAAAATTAATTTCTCATCAACATTAAATAACATTTTTTTCATTTATTAATTTTTATAAAAATCTACCCATTAATTATAACTTTATTTTTTTAATACAATATTGTAAAAATTATAATTTTAAATTTTTTTTTCAATTCTTGATTAATATTTTAATTAAAATTATTAAAATTGTTAATTTTAAAATAAATTCATAAAGAAGAATGATTTATATTTTTTTCAATCATAAAATTTATAAAATATATTAAAAATTTTAAATTTTAAATTTTTAAAATAATTTTATTCTGTCGAATCCGTGTCGTTGTGCGGACAACCAACTCATAAACAACTAATTGTAGTCTTAACAATATAATTTAAAATCAATTGATTTGTTATAATCTGTATACTAAGTAGTAAGCACAGACGCAAGCGTAGCTAGCATTGCCGATTTGTGGCTCTGCAGATGGGTTCTAATTCGGTGTTTAGTCGATATAGTCCGTCCCGAGTCTTTCGACGCTGGTCCTGACTTGACTATGGATAGTCAACTGCAAAATCCGACCAATTAAATATCTACACATAACAAACAAAAGTTCCGTAAAAATACTGCCATTTTTCCTCTTTTAACTCTTTGCAAACCCTCGACCAAGCAGAGCTGATATAAACTGTGCTTTTCCACACAGGAAGAATCAGATCTAACATGTGGAAATGAAAACCAGAATGAGCTAGGCTTTCTTGTCTTGCCATTGAAAATATTCCTTGGATTATGATGACAAAAATAATGACCTCAAAAGGTTAATATATCATTAGAAACATTGTAGAAAAGATGAGGGGGCATATTTTTAAGAAAACTGTCACAATGATGATGCAATAGAATAACCTTAAGAACGGATGTATCAGGAACATCTGCAATATGTCCAGGTTAAAGAAGGAGAAAATTTTCTATTTGAAATTGAAGAATTTGAGAAACGAAACCATATCAGATGCCAATAGCATGATATCTACATTTGGGCAAAAAGAAGAAAGTTTTATTTTCACGTTATAACTGTTTGGTTAAACAGAATGAAGTAAGAATGGGAATGTACCTTCTTAGTTACACTCAGCCTAGTTGACCCTGCAGCATGGAAAAGAATGTACCTTGTTAGTTGCTGTTTGTTGCCACTGAGAATTACTTTCTAGCCTAGTTCTTAAAGGTCATGCAGATGGCAAAGTAATCGTATTTTGATTTTATTTCTCTGAAGACAAAATATTGTTCTTGAAAATAAAACAGGGGAGCACTGATTATTTGGGAACAATAATTTCAGAACTATTTATTTTCTTAAAAATAACTCCTCAAAATACTAGCCCCTTCTTGTGAGGATCATAAGTTGCATTATCTGAAGAAAATTGTTTGGCTATTCGTTTTTCATTCTTAAAGAGCAAAACAGGGGAAAAAAAGAATTAAGAGATGACAGATATATAAGAAAATCATAATGAAACAGAAGAAGGCGAAAAAACAAAAAGAAAAAAACTTACTTCCATTAAGGGCTCTCCAACCAATCCTTTCCACATATGAAAGCCTCAACTATCTCAGGACGGACACCTTCAAGGACTAAGCTCATCTTCATTACTTCTTCAGTTGAAGAAGACTTTGATATAATAGCTGATATAGGACTCGCCAAGAAATCACGTGC